GATATTTTGAGCTACTACATCCATAAGTATGGGTCAAGTTGGAATCTGATTTTTAAATGCTGGTGGTTTCAAAACATTTTAAAGCATCACATGGGTTGACCTAAACACATCTCCATCTGCAGCCTCCGTTCTGGAGTCAAAGTCTTTCCTGAGCCACAGAGATCTCTCACTTACCTGCTGGTTCTTCCAGCTGCCAGTCTGCAGCAGTGACCACTCCCAAGGTACACCCTTCCCTGGCTCAGCCTGGAGGCCCGCTCTTTTGCAGTTCTATTTTTTTTAATTTTAAACTTTTTATTGTGAATTGAGTGGAGGTTAACAGACAAGATCATCAGTTTTACATTCAATAAACTACATGCCCTGCTTCATCTCAATGATTACAATCCTCTCCCTGCAACAAGTTATCCTACTTTTTCATACAAAACAAAAAATGTATATTCATTTAAATGTCCAAAGGGCACATTCTGCAAGCCAGCCTCCTGCCTGCAGGCACACAGCCTTATTCAGTCCATGGGCCTAGAGTCTGCATCTGCCCTGTCTCTCCATGCCTCTCTCTCTGCCACCATCTCTGCTGTAGCTGCTTTTCTAGTTAGGATCTCATGCTCCACACATGCTCTTCCTTCTTGACTCTGCACCCATGCTGTTGAAAGTGGAAGGATTGGTCTTACCAAAATACATGTCCCCAAGGTGGGAAGTTGGAGTCCTGGTGTGGCGCTGTAGGATAAACACTGGACTGAAAGGTTGGTTTGAACTGAAAGGTCATCAATTCAAACCCAGCGGCTGCTCCTCAGAAACCCTTTACAGAGTGGTTATGAGTGAGACATGCCTCGTGCCACAGCACTTATCAACAACATCAAAGTGTGAAGCTGGGGGAGTGAAGCACATGGTCGGTGGCTCAAGCCCACCAGTCACTATGCAGGGGCAAGATGAGGCTTTCTGCTCCCACAAAGATTTCAAGAGCTTCAGAAAAGCTATACAGGGTGGCTTTTAACAAGGTGGGAATTTGGCGCTGCCCAGGTGCAGCCTTGCTCTTCCTTTGAGAAGCACTACCTCCCCTTCCTCTTCTCCCTTCCACCTTCCCCACCCTCACTCTCCATTCTCCACCATTGTTCCATTTCCTGAGGACACAGAAGCACTTTTCAGAGACTTCTACAGACAGCCCCTCCACCTCAGTGTCTAGTTCCACCCAAAGCTAGAGTGACCTTGTTAAACCCTCCTGAGGTTTCAACTTCTGTAGTAGGATGCCCCTCTCCTGCCATCTCACGCTGAACAAAAGTCCCAATCCTCAAGATCGCTGTGGTGCTGGTGGTGGTGTGCCGTGGAGTTGATTCCCACGCATAGTGACTGATAATGTTTCTGAGGCTGTAAATCTTCATGTGAGCACACAGCCTCATCATTCTCCTGTGGAACCACTGGTAGTTTGGAACTGCTGACCTTGAGGTTCGCAGCCCAACTCATAACCACTATGCTACCAGAGATGGTGCAATTTGCACTTGATTGCTACCCTAAAGGTTGCCAGTTCAAATCCACCCAGTGACTCTGAGGGAGAAAGACCTAGCAATCTGCTTCTGTTAAGATTGTTATTGTTGTTGTTGTTGTTGTTGTGTGCCGTGGAGTCGGTTCCGACTCATAGCGACCTGCACAGGGTTTCCGAGGCTGTTAATCTTTACGGGAGCAGAACGCCTCATCTTTCTCCCGTGGAGCAGCTGGTAGTTTCAAACTGCTGATCTTGCGGTTCCCAGCCTGATTCGTAACCACTACGCTTACCAGAGCTCCTTAAGATTATAGTCAAGAAAACCCTCTGAAGTGTTTTCATCACGAGTAATCCATGGGGTCACCAAAAGTGGGAATCAACTCAACAGTGACTAACAACAACCCCAGTAATCTAGAAGGCACACACTATCTTTTATTCTATACCCCCTTCCTCACCTCAGGGACCTTCTTATCCCTCAGACATACTTGTCTGCTCCCACCTTAAGGCCTTGTGGTGCCCTCTACACTTCTTAAAAAGCCACCTGGATCCCTCCGTCACCTACTTCAGGCCATTGTTCAAATGTCATCTTCTCATCTGTTTAAAACTGCCCACCCCACCCCAACCCGTTTTCCTACACAGCACATCTCCTCTGACACACTCTGTCCTTCCTTCAGGTCATCTTCATGAAGTATCATCTCCAACACCTAAAACAGTGCCAGGCAACCCCTGGAGCAGGAAGGATCTGTGGAATGCCTGAGGTGTGACAAATAGTCACGCCTTAAGGGGCTGGGACCATGGACACTGACATTCACCACTTCAATTAGCAGCTCGAATGCCCTGGTTTGAAAGGGGTCCTAAAAATGGCCCTAGAGGTATGCTGCTGGCCTTGCTGGTTCCCTGGGCGCCCTGGGAAGAAGAGTTTTTGTCAGGATCAGGAGGGTAGTGCAGAACAAGAGGCCCTGGAGAGCACTTGCCAATCTCAGGACCTGTCTAAACTCAGTTTCCTCATTTGTAAATGGTGGGTAGCTATGCCTCCCCAAGGAGTTGTAAGGAGTGTCTGAAAAAACTCATGTAAAGCTGGTGCAAGGCTAAAGTAGGAGCAGGCTACAACCACTACTAATATCCCCCATAAGACTCTAGATAGGCCAGGACTGTAGACCATGGGAACAGCAGGATCTGCCAGTACTGACACTAAGCTCTAGGCGTTTTTTTTTTCAGACTCTAAGCATTGTGTCCTGCCCAACTCAAACTTTAGTGATCCTCCTAGAAGGTACTTTCTCCAGACTAGCCTCCAGAGGGCACCACCATCCCATCTCTGCACTGTTCTGTACATACCTCCTGCCACCAGCTCAGTCGTCTCAATTGCTTTGTAGATGAAGGAGACCGTGTCCCATCTCACACAGGACCCTGCACACAAAGGGTAGCGCTCATATCCCTCTTAAGCAGGGGGCCTGACAACTCCCATGGCTTGTGCCTAGCACCGAGGGCATATGAGAGTCCAGTCCTCTTATCTTTTGTTTCCAGAGGGTCAGAGATGGGCAGTGTGTGGGTGTGTGTGAGAGTTGGGGTTCAGGAACTGTCTAGCTGGATCTTGGCATCTCCCCGAATGATGGAACTGGGAACTATACCTACAGACCCTGAGAGTGCTGTGGTGCCCTGGCATCAGGGAGCAAGCCTTGAGGAGGGTGGCTGTTTCATCTGCTCTGGCTGAGCAGTCCTAGAGGAGACTAGAGGCAGGAAGCCAGATCAGGTAGCCTTCAATGTGGTGGCCCACCCTGTGGTTCCAAACATGTTACATGTCGCCTAGTCAGAGTTTGGCCATATTCCATGGTGGTTGGTGGTGGTTATGGGCCGTGGAGTCGGTTCCGACTCATAGCGACCCTGTACAGGGTTTCTGAGGCTGTAAATCTTTATGGGAGCAGAAAGCCTCATCTTTCTCCTACAGAGCAGCTGGTAGCTTTGAATTGCTGACCTTGCGGTTTGCAGCCCGATTCATAACCACTATGTTACCAGAGCTCCTTATAGTTCACAGTAGCTTTAGGCAAACAAGATCCCTCCTGCCTCTGAGGTTCCCAGCAATCCCTCAGGTATGGGCCCCCAGGAGGCAGGTTGAGGTCAGATAGAGTGGGTATAAGGCCAGCCAGGAGCCCAGCTCCTTATCTGCCAACCCAGTGCCCACCTGACAACAGGGGCGAGAGTGAAGCTCAGCAAGCAGCAATGACCCTGATTTCTGAGGAGAGGCGTCCTGTGGAGGGGAGGGTGACTCTGAAAGGGGCTCCCTCCTCCAGAGCATATGGGAAGGAAGGACTTAGGCTGCTGCACTTCTCAAAGTGAGTTCCCTATGTTGCTAAGTGCTGTCCATGACCCTGTATAGGGTTCTGAGGAGTGGCTGGTGAGTTTGAACCACTGACCTTGTGGCTCTAAACGACCTTGCAGTCCAGTGCATTAACCCACAGTGTCACACCAGGACTCCGAGTTCCCTATAGCAACCACTTTTTCATGAGACCTGTAGGGAGCTTGCCCACCACTCTCATGCCTGGGCCCAACATCACTCCAGTACCGGCACTGCCCTTTCCCCCAGGAGCACCCAGCTATTTTAGTCCAGTGTACCTTGTGGACCACCCATGTGTGCCTGATCGAGCTCATGCCCAGTGTGGGAGGCTGAGAAGTGGGGGCCGCCTTGAGCTCACCAAACAGGCCCTCCCAAGTCTGTGTTCACTCTCAGGGCACATCAGCCTTGGTTCCTGCTTGTTCCCTTGCCTCTAGGAGCGTAGAGCCCTCACACCTGATGCCAGGCTCCTGGGGCTCAGCTCAGAGAACTGGAGCCACATCCCTGTTCACAGCCCTGTTCTGCCACTTACCTGGTGGAGGAACTGGGGCAAGTGACCAGAGCTCTGTGAATTTCAGATTCCCCGTCTATACGATGAGGGAGGCGACACTAGATGGGGTGAGGCTCCACAGAGGACACAGACCAAACTGACAGAATGAATTTCAAAGGCCGCAGAAATACAGACAGAGGCAGAGCTTTTCCTTTGAACTGTGTTATTGGAGAGGTGACATTTGGGAAAGCAAGTACACCTCCTTCGCTTCTGCCAGTGCCCTGCTGGTGGCTCTCCAACAAGCACAGCCTACCATACTCATCCATGGCAAGCGTGTCTCAGAGCTGGTTGGAATTCACACTGGTGTCTTTTTTATGGGATTCTAAGTGCTTGGAGTTGCCATCTGGCTCCTCAGACCCTCACCCTGCCCTTAGCCTCTGCTGTGGGCACTCCAGCTGGGAATCACCAGCCCTCTGCCACCTTCTCCCAAAGCCTCACAGCAATTGGGTCCCACTCCCAGGCAGGTTCTATTTCCTGGAGAGGCAAACCCAGTTTCCATTGCCTTCCTCTTTATGCTAGGGATCTGGTCCAGCGTGGGGCTCAGCCCAGCCATCCTGGGGAGAGGGCTCTAGCCCAGAATCCCCTGCAAGTGCCTGCCCTGTGCTGGGCAGTGCCAGAGGCTCCACAGCACAGCTTGCCATGACTGAGAACTACAGCTTGGTGTTGAGGTGGAAGAAGTGGGGCGCTGTGTAGGCTGTGGCAGGCGGCATGTGCCATGTGGATGAGGCTGGACAGAGTCTGTGACGAAGGGCACTGTCAAACGATGCACCAGGGAAGTGCATCAGGCCAGCAGCCATGGGTGAGGGGGCTGCAGTGGCCAGGAAGTGAGCCGGGAAGGCTGGGATGACCAGGGGACTGAAAGGGAGACTGGCCTGGCCCTTTAAGGGGTCTGAGGTGTTGGTGAAGTTCAGTGGGCAGCGCAGCATGGTGCCCCTGTAGGCCTCCTGGGGGGCAGGCCTCAGGGTTGGGTCCAACAGGCAGGAGACAGCCAAGCCTGGCCCTGTGGGCTTGACCCCACATTCTTTGGCATCCACCTCCTTGAGAAAGGGAGACACTGCCCGCAGTTTTTTGCCACCATGGGCAAAGCCCTCTTCTTCTAGCCTGCGCTTGCTGCTGAAGCCTGGGCTGCTGGGGAAGGTGGGTGGGGGCACAGGGCTCTCAGCAGGGACCTTGGCCATGGGGGACACCCAACAGGCTTTGGGTTTGGGATAGGGACTGTCCCTCCTGAAACCACCTTTGTGGAATGCAGAGGGGTGGCTGGCATTCCCACCCCATACCAGCTGGGACTCTGTAGCTGGCATTGCAGCCTCTTTGCCAAGTGGCCCCAGAAGCACCCCATCTTTAAGATTGGGGAAGAAGTTCCGAGGGTGCTGGCTTATAGGCTTCAGCACTTCATGGAAATAGCCCGTGAAAATGGGGGCTTCAGGGCAGGGGCCTCCCTGAGCGTCCTCCCTGAGGCTGCCTCCAGGGACCTGCAATCCCTCCTGAGGGCTCAGTGGGTGCCTTGAGTTCTCAGCAGGCCTGCTTGGGCTCCGGGGACTGTCCAGAGGACAAGCAGCCGGGGACTCGTGGAGTTCTGTGTCAGGGCTACCTGCCCCATGACGACAGCCCTCCTCCTGGCACTGCAAGGCCTCTGCCTTGCTCACCTGGGCCAGGAGCTTCTTCTTGGCCAGTGGTGACATGATGCCATGTGTCCCTTTGCAGTAGAAGCTGGACAGGAGCCGCTTGTAGGCCTCAGGGCAACAGTTGGCCCCTGCAAAGGGCAGAGTGGGAGCAGGGGATGGGCTCGTCTGTTCAGTGCTTTCCCTGGTAAGCTCCTGGCTGGGGAGCTGAGTGGGGTCAGCAGCATCTGTCTTGCTCTTTCCTGGCATCATCTAGAACAAGAAGGGACCATGCCTCAGAGCTGGGGGTTGCGCAGAGCCAGGCATCCTACTTGGGGACCTGTGGGGCAGTAAGGTCCTAGAGGGGTGCCCAGGGGCTACTGCGAATCCTCACAGTACCTTTACACAGAACTTTCAAAAGGCACCCTGTTTTCTGAGGAGCACAGCCCTGGAGAGGGGTGCAGGCTGGATTTAACACACCACTAGGAGTCCTGGTGTGGCACTGTGGGTTAATGAATGCGCCAGACTGCAACACCGTTTGAGCTGCAAGGTCGGCGGTTCAAGCTCACCAGCTGCTCCTCAGAAACCCTATACATGGTTGCTATGGGTCGGAACCGACTCGATGGCACTTAACAACAACAGTCCTCTCAAGTGAGGAATTGAATAACATGCACAATCATGGCGTGGCCTGCGAGTGGGTTCACAGCCAGGGCAGAGGCAGGGCAGCATGGCCCAGGGTCAGCGCTTGGTGCTCACCTGGTCCACCTGCTTCTCCTCCTTGGCCTTCTTTGGCCTCTCGGAGGTCCCATCATCTACCCGGAGCTCCTTGGACATCTTGTACTGCTTCCTGGGCTTGGAGGGGGGCAGTGGCTTGTCGTCCTCCCCCTTCAGGTGCCGCACGTATGGAAGGACCAGCCTGGTGAGGAGCAGGGCATGTCCACCACAGGGCCAAGGCTGGCAAGCACCCACCCACATATCTTTGCGGCTGTCTGGCCTCCCCTCAGGCTCCCAGTAAGTCTACCAGAACTCTCCCTCTTCTGACCCCAAAACTGTCCACTTCAACCACCAGGAATCCTGCAGCCATAACCAGGACAGGGAGGGCTCTGTGGCCACACACATCCTGCCTCTCTCCTGGCATTGTTGTTGTTGTTAAGTGCCGTGAGTCAGTTCCAATTCATAGCTACCCTGTATAAGGTTTGTGAACACCTAAGTTTATTCTGCGAACCTCAAGGTCGGCAGTTTGAAACTATGAGCTGTTCCACTGGAGAAAGATGAGGCTTTCTGCTCCTGTAAAGATCTGCAGCCTCAGAAACACTGTGAAGGGTCACTATGAGTTGGAACTGACTCCACGGTAGTTAACAACAAGAAGTATATTCTAAGGAGCTCTGGTAGCGTAGTGGTTATGAATTAGGCTGCTCATCTCAAGGTCAGCAACTCGAAACTACCAGCTGTTCCACGGGAGAAAGATGAGGTTTTCTGCTCCTATAAAGACTTACAGCCTTAGAAACCCTATGCAGGGTCGCTAAGAGTGAGCTCGACTCCAGGACACATAACTACCACCACCACCACCACCAAGTATATTCTGGGAGTCCTGATGTGGTGTTGTGGGTTAATACGCTGGACTGCAAGGTCGGTTTGAACCTCAAAGTTGGTGTTCATCAGCTGCTCCTCGGAAATCTATACTGGGTCGCTATGAGTCAGAGCCGATAAAAGCACTGGCACTTAACAACAACAACAACCCCATTCCCTCCACTGCTTTAAGCTCTGCCTAATGCAGAGATTGAACACCAGTGTCATGAATCCAGGAAGATTCCCAGTGGACGCCTCCACCCAGACCCCCAGCCGTACCTCTCATAGTGGCGGCGCGTGCACGTGGCCGCACTGGTGCTACCCGGGCTGCCTCCCAGCTCGTCGTACACGTTCTTCCAGAGGCGGCGGCCTGTCACCTGCAACATACATAAGTGGCAAGGCTAGTGGCGCCCCCTGGCGGCGGGGCCTCGCCATTCCAGTGGCACTTGGGTGTTGAGGTGCCGGTGAGACCAGGCAGAGAGCACAGTGTTTTCACAGCTGCTTCTCAGGCAGCAAGGGGCACAAGGGTAGGGGGATTGCCCAACAGCCATCCAGTTCACCCCACCTGGGCTGCCTGACTACTAGAGCACAGGGAAGGCAGAACATATGGGGGAACAGGAAAACCTGCTTTGAGCAGCAAAGTACTAGCAAGTAGGAGAGCAGAGGAAGGACAGAATTGGAGATCTGTGAGTTCAGCAGCCCGAGCTTGGCTCTTCCCAAAGTCTGCCCACCTCCAGGAGCCCCCCGCCTCCCCCTGCCAGAACATGCAGCCCAGTTAGGGCTTGGAGGTGCCTTCCTTACCAACTCATAGGCTCCCAGTTTCTCCACTGCCTTGTAGATCTTCCACAGGTTAACTGAAGAAAAGACAGGGCAAGATTTCAGTCTCTGTGAGTGGAGGCAGCAGCCACAGTGATCCAAGACCAGAGCACACATGGGCAGAGCCACTGCTGTGTATGGCAGCCCAAGGACCAGGGAAGGTGGACATCCAGCTCTGCCCCTCTGCCAACCCGGTGCCCAGGCTGGCGTGTCCTGGGTCATCAGAGTAAAGGTGCTTGCCCAACTCTGCAGTTGGTTCTCTGGGGTGGGGTTCCTTGCCGGGCCCACCCTCCCTGCTGCCCACCCCAGGGACGCACTCTGCTTGAAGCCGAGATGGGGCACCCTCTCGATGGGTGTGTGTCGCTCCTTCATGAACTTGTAGAGGCTGACCAGGAAGGCCTGTTCCTCCTCCCGCTCCCCGCCTGCCTCAGGGGAGTCCTGGGGAAAGAACAACAGGCATTGGGATGGACCCCCAGTCCAGGGGTGGCTGTGTACCCATCAGTTGTTGTTCTTGTGGTTAAGTGCTGTCGAGTTAGTTCTGACCCATACAGACCCTGTACAGGGTTTCCAAGGAGCAGTTGGTGAGCTTGCAGTTCAAACTGACATTGCGGTCTAGTGCATTAACTAGGGAGGAATGAAGTGCCTGGCCCCCAACCCCAGGTTCCCACGGGAAGCAGCAGGTTCTCAGCCCCCAGGCTATTGCTCTGGGCTGCAGTGATTGTTTCTGGAGTCAGAAGGTGTAGCTGTCTGCTACCAGTGTCCAAGGGCCCAGGCCTGAGCCATAGGTCTTCGGAGATAAAGACCTTACTGCCCAGAGAAGCTGGTAAGAGGTGACCACAGCATTCCTATACCTTCTATAAACACAGACCACGTCTTTATCTTGGCTCTTGTCTGTGTCTACATCTTAGCTCCTCTACCAGACTGTGAGTTCTTGGAGGGCAAGTTCGAACCTTACTCATGTTTATGCGGCCTCGTGCCTCCCAGCAGCCGCTACAAGCTGATGGAACGAAGGTGCTCAGTGCCAGCTGGGCCTCCATCCAGGGAGCCTCCATTGTGAGGCCTGCCTCTCCGACCCACCAGACTGCCCCTACTCGGGGTCTCAACTGCTATATTTCTCTCAGATGCACCAGACTTTTGGTTTCTGGTCTCAGAGGGGTAATTGTTAATGATGCTGTTCATCTAGCTTGTCGCTCAGGATAGTCATATATAGAAGCCCAAGGCCAGGATTCTGGCCCAAGAAAGGTTCCTTCTCTGAGAACAGACAGCATCCAGGTCTTTGCTGGGAAGGCCCCAAGCCCCAGAAGGCTATCAACCCACTCCTGGACCTAGAACAATGTCAAGCGTCATATGGCCCCAAAACATTTTGTTCAAATACTTTTAGTGTTTTTTAGTCTCATGTGTTACAGATGCAATTTGAACATACTGGATCAGCATCCTCTACAACTTGAGCTATGCTCCGAGGGAAGCTCTCTTACTACTACTCTGCAAGGGAAGTTGGCCTTCTCTCTCTCCTAGAAGTTCCAGACAAGCTGTTTAAAAGTTACTATTTACAATTTCTTTTCTCTCTGAATCAGGATTTGGCTCCAGGTTGTGGCTAATCTTCCCTGGATGCTGGGGCTGGTGGAGCCCTCAAACACCTGTCCAGTCCTACATGCATCAGAGCAGCATTCTCTGTCTCCCAGAGTGACTGTACATGCCAGTGATATACATTCGAATGGGTGGACATAAGCGTAGCTTCACATCAGACCTGTTGCCACAAGTTGATTATGACTCATAGTGACCCCACAGGACAGAATAGAATTACCCCATCGGGTTTCCAGGGTTGAAATCTTTACAGAGAGAGACAGCCACCTCTTTCTCCCATGGAACAGTAGCTAGGTTTGAACCCCCAACCTTTTGGTTGGCAGCCAAGCCCTTAACCACTGCACCACCAGGGGTCCTTTCTCACATCTGTTTTGTAGACCAGGATTCCATGTAAATCTTCATTTTTCAAATGAAGATTTAAAAAATCTTCCACAGGGGATGAGCTGTAGGAGTCCCAGACCCCAGCCACCTGAATGCTCCCCACCCCGCAAGCAAGCAGGTGGCCCTCCCTGGCTCTCAGGGGAGGTAGGGTTGCAATGCACTTCTTCCTAAGAGCTCAAAGAGTCTCCCAGTTCACCGGGAAGCTGAGCACAGACTGAGGGGAGGGCAGGAAGGAGGGTCTTGAGGGAAGTCTCCCAACTCACCTCCAGCAGGATAGGACTATCACTCCTGCTCTGCTCACCACAGAGTTTAGGGGACACAGGTGGGTCTTGGGGGTCATCCTCCTCTGACTGTTTCCTTTTCCCTTTGACAGGGGGTGCTGTAAAGAGAGGAACATTAGGGCAAAAGGGGGAGAGGGAAAGAGCATACGTGAGACACAGGTAGGGAGGGATAGGTGCTGAAGAGAGAGGCCTGGGGAGAGGTGGGCATCCTCCCATCCCAGCCTGTCCGAAGAGGCTCCTTCTACACTTTCCTCTATCCCTGTCCCTGGCTATACCCAGGCTGTCCTCCAAACACACATGAGGTCATGCTAGCTAGGACCACACTGTTTGCCTTCCTCTACACCTCCAATCCATCCTCGAACCTTGTCCTCCACGCTCCACACCTGCCTCTTAACTTTCCTCTTTGCCAGCCTTCTCTCCACATCTTTGCAGGAACCCTAAACCAACTTGGGGTCAAGTCAGAGGAGACTGGGGTTAGGGCTGTGGTGCTCTGGGAAATCTTGTCTCCAAAACCTGCTCCATTTGTTGGCAGCAGCTCAGTCTACCTGGGGAAGTTGCTGCAGAGCCCATCAAGGTAAGTGGGAAGTCGTTTCTCCAAGAGAATAAATGCCCATTTGTGAAGCATTGCCATTCCCCTGAGATCTACAGAATTCTGACTATCCCTGGAGTCCCTGGGTGTGCAAACAGTTAGTGCATTCAGCTGCTCACTAAAAAGGTTGAAGGCTCAAGTCCACCCTGGAAATTTCCTTCTAAAACAATCAACCAATGGAAACGCTATGGAATACAATTGTACTCTAACACACATGAGGTTGCCATGAGAAGGAGTCAGTCGACTTAATGACAACTAGTTTGTTTCGTATTTTTAGACTCCTCCCCCCAATGTTTACTAATCGGGCTGCGAACCACAAGGTCAGTAGTTCAAAACTACCAGCTGTTACGTGGGAGAAAGATGAGGCTTTCTGCTCCCGTAAAGATTTAAAGCCTTGGAAACCCTGTACAGGGTCGCTATGAGTCGGGACTGACTGCACAGCACATAACCACCAACCCTCCAATAAGAAGGACTGACAGAATGACAGCAACAATGGGGTGCAGGCAGGTCTGGACAGTGTTTCGTTTTGTCACTATGAATTGGAACCAACTGGACGGCACAACAGTTTCATTTTTTAATTATCCCCAGTCACTCCAGGAGCCCTGGGGTGGCACTGTGGATTAACACACTGGACTGCAAAGTTGGTTTGAACCACAAGGTCAGTGGTTCAAGCTGCTCCTCGGAAACCCTGTACAGGGTCGCTATGGGTCGAAACCAACTCAACAGCACTTAACAAGAACAATCAATTTATTAATCTAACCCTATACAGGGTTGCTATGAGTTCAGAATTTAACAACAATCAATCCAAATTGAGCCTTGGTGCTAAGTGGCTATAGTACCCAGCTGCTAATGAAAAGTTGGCAGTTTAATCCATAAGTGAGAGAAAGATGTGACAGTCTGTTTTCATGAAAGTTTATAGCCTGGAGTTTTACTCTACCCTAAGGACAAACAAATCTGTGTTGGAAGAAGTACAGCCAGAATGCTCCTTAAAAGCCAAGGTGGCCAGAGTTCATCTCTCATACTTTGGACATATCAAGAGGGAACAGTCCCTGGAGAAGGATATCATGCTAGGTAAAGTGGAGGATCAGTGAAAAAAAGAGGAAGACCCCCCAATGAGATGGATTGGTACAGTAGCAGCAGTAATGAGCTTAAGTGTAGCAGTGATTGTGAGGTTGGCGCAGGGCCATTCTGTTGTGCATAAGGCCACCATGAGTCGGTACAGCACCTCACAACAACAATAGGGTCACTGGTGTGGGAGTCCTGGTTGGGGCTATAAGATAAACACTTGACTGGCTAACCACAAATTCAGTGGCTCAAACCTAACAGCCACTCCTTGGAAATCCTGTACAGAGTCACTATGAATTGGAATCACCTCAACAACACCTAACAACAACAACAGGTCACCATGAGTTAGAATTAACTTGAAGGCAATTGTTTGTTTGTGTTTTCTTTTGGAATTAGGCCACGAGCCCTGGTGTTGCACTGGCCAACTGAAAGCTCAGCAGTTCAAACCCACAAGAGAAAGATGTGATAGTTTACTTCGGTAATGATTTACAGCCTTGGAAACCTTATGGGGCAGTTCTACTCTGTCACTCTTAGTCAGAATGAACTTGACCACAATGAGTTTGAATTAGACCACATTCTCCCACCACCTGACTAAGAATCCTGGTGACTCTTCAGGTTTCACCTAATAAGTCACTCCCAGGCCCCAGCTAGGTGCAGCATTCCTGCTCCTCTCTCACTGCCACCTTGACTGAACTGCCTGCTGGCCTGTCTATCTTGCTAACAACACTATGAGTTTCTGGGACATTGGTTCTCTGTGCCCACACAGGTGCCATGTAAATTAGAATAAAGGAGCCTCACAACAACCCTGCATAGTAGGCAAGGAGGAGCCACAATTTTGTTTTACTAAAAGGGAGCCAGGTATGCTGATGGTTGCAAAAATGCAGCCCCTCCACTACCGTAAACAAATGAGGGGAACTGCCAATATAAAGTGGTGACTTGCCTTGGGACACATTACAGTCTGGCAGTAGAGCTGAGACTAGGAACCCATGAGCTGAGACTAGGAACCCATGTCTTTGGACTACCGCCTTTTCTCTTTCCTTTATTTCTTTTCTTTTTGAGAATCTAATCTGAGCCTTTTCCATACGCCTGATTCTCTTCCGCTCAGGAAGTCCTCAGTGTTGGGAACCTGTGAGACTTCCCTTCCATGCCAGGCAGAGAAGAATCTCTTTAGGTCCGAGAAACCCATACAGACAAGACACACAAAGCAGGCAGGGCCCAGAAGCACGTGCTGTTAGAATTGTTGGCTACCAAATTGTCTCCCATTGAGTAGTTTATGTAAGTGCTGCTTATCTGTAACTAAACTAAATGTGACCATGCGAGTCCTCAGCGCTGTGTTCCTGTCTCTCTCTTGTGCATCCTCTCATTTAGTCCCAGGAGAAATACCATTTAAACCAAAGCCAGAGAGGTTCAGTTTCTGTCTCCCTGGTAGGCCAGGGCTCAAAATAAGACTGGTCTAACTGTGCTGGACTGCAAGGTCAATTTGAGCCACAAGGTTGGTGGTTCAAACCCACCAGTTGCTCCTTGGAAACCCTATACAGGGTCACTATGAGTTGAAACAGACTTGATGGCACTTAACAACAATAACAACAACAACAACAACAACAACAACAACAACAACACCCAGTCAGTGACCTTGTCACTACCGTGGCTGCTGTGGTTATCATTAACATTTTCAAAGTCTTAATGAAAAGTCCAAATATGATTAGAAGAGAAACTAATGCTTTTAAAGAGAAAGTGACTCCAGCCACCCTCTGACCATCTGAAGCCCAGCCCATTCTCCAGAATTCCTGTGTGCTGACAGGTGATCCTTGCAAACTGATGCCTTGCCAACCAAGTCTGGGTCTGACCCTGTGCTTCAGTCTTCCTTTCTTTGAAATGGGAGAGAAAGTCCCCTTGAGTCCTTGACAAACTGTCTAAATTTCTGGCGTCTTTCTGGCCACCAGAGCACATGCACCTAACTAGCAGTTCTCCTTTTCCTTCAGCCCCTTTCAAGCCTTTCTTCTCTCTTGGCTGCAATCCTCAGCATGTGACAGGGACCTCTAAGTCCTACTATAAACTTTCTGTGTTATTCTGCCAAGTCACTGCCTCTCTAAGCCTCAGAAGAAAAAAAAAGTGGTTGGTCCCGTGCATCTGGGGAAAACATTTGAAAAACACTAAGGTAAAAAAAGAGCTGATTTAAGGTCCTGGGTAGGGCCCCAGCATCAGAGTTTAAAGCTCCTCAGGGATGCTCTCAGTTGTAAGTCATTGAGTCAAAGGACCCATAGCCCTCCTTCCACTCTGTTGTGGAGTTTGTGAGCTTTGCCTAGGGCCATACTTAGGGAAAACTTCCTGGAGCTGGGCACTTGGGTTACCTGGAAAGCAGGTCACCAATCTGAGCTGTTTAACCCTGATGGGAAGGGGATTAGAGCTCTAAGCTTGAGCCACAAAGAGAAAACACTCTGTGTCTGTGAAGCCAAGTCCCCAGATGAACTCAGAATCCATTCTCTCCCATCCAGGGCAGGGCCTCCTGGGCCCCAGGCCTTAGGCGCCACTTCCGCAGTCTTCTTTCTCCAGTGTGCCCTCGGTCCTGGCCCTGGCTGCTCTCATTCTTCCCTCCCCAGGTCAGTCATAGATTAGGCTTCCAGGCAAATCGTCATCTTAAAAAAAGGTTCTGCTAACAATACTTTTGAAAGTTGCTGTGAGTGATGAGTGAGCCCATCTCCCACACACTCCAGATTCAGGGCCCCTCTCCGGATTCTGCAAGGAAGTGAAGGGGCGTAGGGACCTGGCCTTATCTAGACCAGGGATGACTGAAGCAGCCCATCGGCCACTTCAGTCGTGAGTGACTGCCATGCTACAAGCCTGCACTTTATATCCCCTTTTGCACAAGATCTCAGATGTCCTCTCTCTAGTATGGGGTGGGAGGGTGCAAGTGGTGGCTCAAAAACAACAAGAAAGAAAATAAAACTTCTGCTTTCCAAAACAATGTCATTTAACATCAACTTCTTCCATCCAGGAAATAATAATGACAAGGACAGTAGTTATTGTTTCATTGTTGACTTTGAACACACTAAGAGAAAAGGATCTAATCACATGTTTTCCTACTTCTTAGGTAGTCATCGGTCCTGTGAAGCTGTCCCTGCCCTACCAGACAACAAGCTGAAATCAGATGGATTGGGCAGAGTGGGAGATCAAACAGGGGGCTAGGTACCACATAGGTATATGCTTGCCAAGTTATTCCCTGCTTCTGCACCACAGTCTTGCCATTTGTAAGATAGGTGTGCTTGTCTCAAATGGGTTCAACATTCTAAGCAGGACAAAGCAAGAAATGCAGCCTTCTCACAAGACATAGCAGAGTAGAGTGCACGGGCCCACCCTCTGGACCCTTGTGAGATGTGAGGTCTGCCTGTCTGGCTCACTCCCACTGTGTCCCTACTGCCCAGAACAGTGCAGGGCACAGAGCAGGGGATCCTTGAACACTGACCAGAAGAATGCAGTATGAGATGAGACCCTGGATGCCCAGAGAGACTGGGACTATGACTATTAGACTATGACTAATCCAAAGCCACACAGTCTGACAGTGACTGAGTGTAAGCTAGAATCAGGCCTTGAACTGGGCGCTCTTCTCTCTCAGGTCCTCAGCTCCGCCCCACTCACCCTTGGTGTGATGGGAAGGACGCATAGCTTCCGTTCATGAAAAGTCACCCACTGAGAGCACTGTGTCAATTATGACCATAATAGTAACTGCAGCCTCAGTAACAACCAGTAGACACCACCCCACCCCCTCGCCTGAGGTTCTTGGCTTAAGTTTCCCTTAGTTTGAGCTGGAGCTCGAAACAAAGACTGCCTTTGAAGCGGGCTGTCCACTCTATAGCCCAGGAGCTGGCTGCCTGGCAGGAGTCTCTGCCTGGCACTCACTCCAGCAGGCTGGGTGGGGGTGGAGAACTGCCAAAGGTTGCGCTCCAGCCAGCACCGAGGACCCTGCCATAGCCCCACCTCAAGGACTCAGCTGGGTTGCCGGGGGTACAGGATCTGGGAGAACAGCTGGGGCCAAGTTGAGGGCCTTAAGTGAGTACAGAAAGGGGGAATGGGCACCAAATGTGAGACTGCTAACTCGCAAGTCCCACAGGGACTCCCTGTCCCTTGTTAGCCAAAACTGGGACATCCAAGAAGACCCTATTCAAGACAGGGTTCCTCCCGGTTCAGTCATGGCTGATGAAACTGAAACGGACCCAAATTTGTAAAATGTGGTTGAACTAGAACAGTAACTGGAATGGGAAAAATTACAGGGTGACACCCTGCTAGAAACTTAGTCTCTCTCTTAGAAAATAAGAGTAGCATGTGGTTGCATAGCAACCAAATCTCTTGAACAACAGAGTGGAAAATAACAGTGTCCAGCTCAAAGATGGAGACCAACTTCACTATTTTGAGTGTGTTGCTTTCCATAGTACTGGCAATAATAATCCAGTCTCCTGCAACAGGCTCCTCACAGAGCTCACTATGCCTCTTGCCAGTCTCCCATTCTAGGGCTTCAATACATAGTTTTTCCTGTTCCGGTTATCATTTCGCTTAATTCAAATTAAAAAAAAAATCAAGTCTGTTCTGGTTTTATTTTGTTGGCCATAATTGAACTGAGAAGTACTGGTTCAAAGCCTTGGATATTTAATAACAATAATAGCTCCCAACTATGGACCATTTCCTAGATCCCTACGAGCTTCCATTCTACCAATGGAAAAACCAGGCTCAGAAGCTTAAGTGACTTATTCAAGTCAGAGTGGAATGGGATGAAGGCTGCCTAACCTTGCGTGGGGCATTCCTTTGCCTTTCGGCTTGTTCCCCAACCCTCCTAGTGTCTTCCAAGGTGGTTCGGCAAGCCTGTGGGTCCTGATCTAAGCAGGAGTGTGGCTCAACCCTGACAAGTTTCCCACTTGGGAAACAGGAGATTGTGGGGAAAGCAGAGTGGGGCAGAATCTTGGAGGCATGCCTCTCATTCACTGCCTGATCAGGGTTGGCCTCTAAGCCTCAGCTTTTGGGACTGTAAATTCAAGATGTTAAATACCACAGAGTCATCTCAGATTGTATAGGGTTTCCAAGGGGCGGCTGGTGAGTTTGAACCACCAACCTTGCTATCCTACAGCGCTACACCAGGACTCCTGGTTGTTGTTTTTAGGTGTCGTGGGGTCCTTTCAACTCAGCAACCCTGTATAGGATGTCCGAGGAACAGCTGGTGAGTTTGAACCACCGACCTTGCAGTTAGAACCCAGCTTTCGACAGGACTCCTGATAGTTTGATTCTTTGAAGTCCTTTCTACCTCTGCCACTCCATATTATAGGTTTTGGCTGGTCCCTAGGACCTGGACAGAACTCTGGAGCTCTGCTTCAGGGATCCACCTAGCCACAGTCTCCCATTCCTCCTTAGCTGGAGGGTCAAGTGCAGGCACAGAGACATCAAGGCTCAACGGTTCACAACAGTGGAGCTCAGGCCAAGGAAGAAGCACCTGTTATCCATCATCCTCCTCCCAAGGTACCACAACTCGCCGGCTGTCAGCCCGGCAAACTCGCAGGCAGTGTCTCCAGATCTGCACCCTGAACCTGTTGGGATCAGCCTGCGAGGGCTATGCGCCCCTTACCCTGGTCCGGCGGCGTCCACTGGGCACTCTGAGGAGAGGCCGTGCCTGGTTGCGCCCCGCAGCTCCAGCTGACCAAGAAACCGAACGTCTCCTCTAGCAAGATCACAGCTCTCCCTTCTACCCTTCCCTCCCCTCAGTACGACTCTCTTTCCTGGGTCGTCACTCTGCCCTTTCAGGATTCCCGAGGGAAAAGAAGAGGAAACAGAAACGAAAAAACTAGAGGAAAGGAAAGGAAAGTGGGACGCTACTT